GATCCAAGAAGAAGCAACTGCATGCACATGCAACTCCCGACTTTCGACAGTTTACCTGTCTGCTTTCTGTTCTTCCCAGCGTCGGGCCGGCCGGGGAAACGGAAAACTTCGAGAGTTCGCCAGAAGTCGGCTCCCCGAACAGCGTTTTGTGGCCCCATAGGGAGCTCCACCGAAGGCCCCAGTGGGGGTGGCCACATGCGTCCGCCACACCCAGTACAGAGCTTCGTGGCCCCATAGGGAGCTCCACCGGAGGCCCCAGTAGGGGTGGCCACATGCGTCCGCCACACCCAGTACAGCGTTTCGTGGCCCCATACGGATCTCCACCTCAGGCTCATGTGGGGGTGGCCACATGCGTCCGCCATACCCAGTGCGGCGCTTCGTGGCCCCATGAAGACTCAACCCAAGGCCCCAGTGGGGGTGACCACATGCGTCCGCCACACCCAGTACAGAGCTTCGTGGCCCCATAGGGAGCTCCACCCAAGGCCCCAGTGGGGGTGGCCACATGCGTCCGCCACACCCAGTACAGAGTTTCGTGGCCCCATAGGGAGCTCCACCCAAGGCCTCAGTGGGGCTGGCCACATGCGTGCGCCACACCCAGTACGGCGTTTCGCGGCCCCATGGGGATCTCCACCTCGGGCCCCAGTGGGGGTGGCCACATGCGTCCGCCATACCCAGTACAGGGCTTCGTGGTCCCATACGGAGCCCCACCCAAGGCCTCAGCGGGGGCGGTCACATGTGTCCGCCACACCCAGTACAGCGCTTCATGGCCCCAAAAGGAGCTCCACCGAAGGCCCCAGTGGGGGTGGCCACATGCTTCCGCCACACCCACTACAGCGCTTCGTGGCTCCATAAGGAGCTCCATCGGAGGCCCCAGAAGGGGTGGCCGCATGCGTTCGCCACACCCAGGACAGCGTTTCGTGGCCAGTGGGACCGTCCGCATGCGTCTCGCACACACTATTTGGCATTTTCACCCACCCAGTACAACGTTTCGTGGCCCCATAGGGAGCTCCACCGAAACCCCCACTGGGACCGCCCGCAGGAGCTTCTCCGAAGCCCCCAGTGGGACCGCCCACATGCGTCCCACACACCCACTTTGAGAGTTTCACCCACCCAGTACAGCGTTTCGTGGCCCCATCGAGAGCTCCACCAACGCTTCCAATAAGACCGTCCGCATGCGTCCCGGAAGCCCAATTTTGCATTTTCACCAGCCCAGTACATGTTTTCGTGGCCCCATTAGGAGCTCCACCGATGCCACCAGTGGAACCGTCCGCGTGCGTCCCGGAAGCCCAATTTGGCATTTTCGCCCACCCAGTACAGCGTTCCGTGGCCCCGTAGGGAGCTCCAGCGGAGCACCCAGTGGGACCGTCCGCGTGCGTCCCGGAAGCTCGTGGCCACATAGGGAGCTCCACCGAAGCCCCAAGTGGGACCGCCCGCGCGCGTCCGCCACACCCAATTTGGCATTCTCACCATCCCAGGACAGTGCTTCGTGGCCCCGTAGGGAGCTTCACCGAAGAAGATATTCACAATTGCGGTGCCCACAACTGCATATGGCTTGGTCCCTCGCTCGGATAATTGTGGCGTCTTTGCAAAGCGACTCCGTCTCGCCATTTCCGAGCCCGAGTCTCATGGCGGGCATGTCCTCGCACAGACAGATTTGGAGCGAAAGGTAGAACATATGCAGAACATACTTCTTGTGGTGTCGAAAAAGCGCGTTGAACAAGACATCGAACATAATCAAGCATACAGTAACAAAGAACCAGCTGCCTGCATACATAATGCCTAGTATTTGTGATTTCCCCCTCGCCGTTTTGGCGCGCGCGAGCCGCGAAAGTATAGGCTCGTGATGCTATGGACGCACCCTGTTCGAGCAGCGCGAACGGCAACCGCCGCCGATGCTCTACAAGACGACGCGTCGCGCACTCGCCAGGTGAGAGTTCGCGCGAGGGGGAGCCAACTCTGCTGAACATTAAGCCAAGTCAGCGCGGTGCATCGTACGTTGGCGCGCCGCGAAAAAAACGACAGACGCAGGGCGTGCTTGGAGGTGGCGCGATATCATCCACAAGACCGCAGGCAATCCAAACGCGCAGACGATGCGAATGGCAGGCGCCAGTCGCAACAGGCGCAGCTGCCACGCGAAAAACGCGACCCCGAATAAAAAATCCGTGGGGGCGGGCGCAGCGGCGCAATCCCGTCTTCTCCCCATCGGTATGGCGATCTAGTTTCGGATCGGCTGGTCGACGCATCCTCCTCCCCCTCCTCGCGCTCGCCGCCCTGCTCCTTATCCTCCACGTCTGAGTCATCTTCCGCCATATTCATTCTCCTCCTCCTCCCCCGTCCTCGTCTTCTCTGTCCTGATGCTCCTCTTCCTCCCCGCTAGTCCCTCCTATTCTCTTGCCCCCGCTTTTTCCTCGACCCCACGGAGGTTTCAGGGGAAGAGGGGCGTTCGCACATTGCCGCCCGATTCAAACCGGCAGCCCGATTCACCTAATTCCCTGCCCAAGATCCCCCCCCGCGCCTCCTCCTTGGCGCCGCGTTGAGACCCCGAGCGCGCGCGAAACGCAGTGAACGGAACGCAAGCGCAGCCCGCGGACTTCCGACATCGTTCGGCAAACGCCCCTCGCAGCTAGGAGCGCGCTTTCGCGCGGGATCCCAACGGCCGACGAGCGAGTCGCACCTCGCAGGCGCTCGCAGCCCCCCCCCCATTCCGCGATGCACGGGTGCGGCAAGGGGGGGCGCAAGTTACTCCTGCATCCATTCCTCGTCCTGATTTCTCACCCGACTGCCCCTCGCCCATTCCCCCCCTCCGCCCGCCATCTTCGCGTCCTCGTATCCTTTGCTGCCTGCCCCCAGCAGGCCTCCTTTCCTTGCCCCCCCCCCCCCCTCATCCCCCGCCTCTGCGCCCCCTTCGAAGAGGGGCGGAAGGGCGGGGCGGAAGGCCTTGTGGTAGTTCGCGTCGCGCAGGGGGGCGACCCGCAGCTCCGGGCGAGTTAAGGGCTCGCCACTCTGCTTGACGTCGAAGTGAAACAGCACGAGACCAGTCGGATCGCCCCTGATGCCCTGAGTGGAATCGCGAATTGCGTTTTCCAGCTCAGCGGCCGTTTTCTTCTCGACGATGATGTCCACGTACGTGTGGACATGCTTCTTGATGATCTTCTCCCAATACTCCTGGTCCTGCTGCTCCATGCTGTGAAAGCCCTTCGACTCTGGAGTCTCGGTTGCCGTGCCAGTTGTCGGAGCTGGCGTAGCTGGGTCCACTGCAGGGGTCTCTCCTCTCGCCGCCGCTGCAGCGGATCGCTCTTGGGCCAGAGTCGTGGCGATCTCGTCGATCTCGCGCTTGACGCTCTCGTACTCCAAGATGTCAGCAACCTTTGCCTTCGACTTTACAGCGTCCCTGTAGCGGCCGTCATAGGAGCAAGTGTAGGTACACTCTTCCAGAAATTTGCTTGCCGCCACCGAAGATGGGGGCCATCCGACCATCCACGTAGTGTCCACCGTGGGCTCGTCGGGGTAGCCTGTCACAGACGCGCGTACGCTCGGAAAATCGGCGAACGCCTCCTGCATCTTTTTAACGTGCTCGATTGGCAGACCGATCCCTGGCAATCACGTCTGGAGCAACTCATCGCGCATGGCATGCTTCAGGTTGAGGACCTCGATGTAGCTTTGCCGGTAGTCCTTCATCCTGCTGATCGTGAACTCCCCCGTGGTGATCGAGTCCTGGGGGGGGGGCTACTCGCAGGCAATGTGACAGGCCAAGGCCAACCCAAGACACGCAACCAACCAACATTAATTCGTCCTCTCCCCCGTAGCTCCGTTTCCCCTTGGGCTGCCTCGGCCCTCAAGATCAAAATACTTGTCTAACGTGTTCACACCGTGGTTTTCAACGCCAAAACCTTATTCTGCTCAGTCACCCCCCCTCCCGGGCATGGAATTCGACCCCCAGTCCATGCGGTAGAGATCCGCGAGGCCGCAAATGGCCCAGGTCATGCGAGATGTCGTCTGCGCACGGTCGACCAAGGCATGCAACGCATAAATCGATTTGCTCCATGGGCTCTTCTCCATCAGGTGCTCGTCGCACCACTCGAGCCACTGGCGCGCCGTCTCGTTGCTGAGGACCCTCCTGTGCACGGTGAGGGCGCTGTCGACGAAAGACGCGCTGACCCCCTCCGTCCCCCTGGCGTACTTCATCTTCTCATGGTAGTACTTCGCGACCTGAGCGCTGCCCAACTCCCTGCCCAGGTCCTTCTCTTTGGAAGCCTTGAAGCCAACGACGTCGTAGATCCACTGGCGGACGGAAAATTGGGACACGATGCCCATCTCGATGGCTCCCTGTCGGAGGTTTTCAGCCCTCCAATACCGATCGTCCCCTGATGTCACCAGCTCGAACCTGAACGACGCCGTCAACAGCGCGTGGCGCCATTTCCCTAACACGTCATCGCCAGTTTCTTGAATGATTGCATCCCTGATGCTGAAGATCACCGCGAAGGCGGGCTCCGGGGGCGACAAGCGTTGCAAGGCACCTTTCGCACCCATCACGCATTGCGTGGCTGAGTCCAACGCAATCACCGTCTCGAAGGGAACGTGCCTGGGCGGCTTCAGTGGCTCCAAGGCGAACCTCTGGAGCTCCTTGATCTGGCCTTTGTTGATGGGCGAAGCCACGCGGTGGCACGCGGTGGTTGCACATCCACGCGAAGCTCTGCCACGTAAAATTGAGGCCGCATTTGTAGAAAATGCCAGGCCCATCTCTGTTCAGCACAGCGTTCATGTCAGCCTGTTTGAATGGCGCCTGGGCGCCTCCATCCGACATGGTCTTCGGCTCCTGCTCAACGATGTCCTTGAACACCGGGTGTTCCGCGATCTTGCTCGACGCATCGTGGACCTCGTTGATCACGGTGCGAACCATGTTTTCGTTGCTAGATCGCTGTTCCATCTCGCCCGCGGCGGCCTCCGCCCCGGCGGCGCTGGTCTTATTCTGGATCCTCGGGCGCGTTCTCGGCTCGGGC